AAATTAAGCAAAATAATTTGACATTGAGACAAAATTAAGTAAAAGAAACTAGCATGGAGATAAAATTAAGCAAAAGAAACTGACATGTAAACAAAATTAGGCAAAAGAAATTGGTATGAAAACAAAATTAAGCAAAAGAAATTCTCATGGAAACAAAATTAAGCAAAAGAAACTAGCATGTAAACAAAATTAAGCAAACAAAACACGTATAGTAATAAAATTAAGTAAAAAAAATTGTTAAATCTTGGATATTGATGATGAAACCAACTGATAGTATTTATGATTTGATCTGTGTTTTGGGGGGGGGGAGTGAATTAGTGCAGTGGTAAAATCACGTCGGTTCTGAAAATTTCGTTTTGTACATTGAAAACCGATTTCGAAAGATGTTAACTTGAAAGCGTATTCATAAACATATTGAAAGCAGTAAGAAGGTTTGTAGTAAGATAAATTACACAAACCGATTTTGGAAGATGTTAACTTGAAAGCGTATTCGTAAACATATTGAAAGCAATAAGTAAGTAAGGAGGTTTGTAGTAAGATAAATTGCCCAAAACAAAAGGCAAACCAGATTTTTATAGTGGTTTAGTCGTCGTGACCTACATCCACTCTGCTGATTCATCTTCCGTCGAGGCCACCGGCATCCACTGTCGATATTCCTTTAATAAGCGAAGATCAACCTCCTTTTTACACCCCTCTTCTCCTTTTCACAGGTTTAGGAGACAACTTTTACAAGCACACACTCTATTCTAAACAAAATTCTAAGTTTAAGCTAGAGGAGGGGATTTCTCAAGAGATTAGCGGTTTTCTCAGTTTTCCTCCGGCCCAACATGATTCTTCCTACTTTAATTATCTCTTCCTGATCGAAGCATCCCGCGTCACTCAAAACATAGATCAAATCATAAATACTATCAATTGGTTTTATCATCAAAATCCGAGATTAAATAATTTCTCCTTTTTTGATGATGATAACCAATTGATGACGGAGTTAACCTTAACTCCCGGAGTTTAACCAAACTCCCTCTATCAATATGCCATATTGATAGAACTCTTGGATTAAAAAATTCAAGCAATATGTTATCATAAACTTATGCATAACATCATCATACTTCTCCCCCTTTATCATCAACAAAAAAGGAGAAATCCAACTATCAAGTATTTAGACATACAAGTTCAAATCATTGCATAAAATACATAATATCAAGTTTTATCATCATGCAATTTGTAAGCTTGGAAGTTTTACATCATACAAGCTAGTAAAATTTTCATCACTTTATAACATGCATAGTTACCAAATCATCATTGATTTTAAAGATGTGCAAGATTATAAATTATGTAAGTTTGCATTTTTGCTTCTTAAGATAGACAATTTATCAATTTTTTCTGGTGATGTTCAAGATAGCAAGCTCTTTCTTCTCTTTTAAGAAGTTTCATTTTTGCTTCCTTTGCAAAGTGCAAGCTAGCAAAATTTTACATTATTTTACAACATATAAGCTAGCAAATTGACAAGTGTTACTTGTCTTTGAATTATAAAGGCTAGCAAGTTTTTGAAAAGTAGTGAAAGATAACAAGCTAGCAAGATATAATATTTTACATGAAGCAAGCTACATAAAGTACATTTGTATCATCTCTTTAGATGTGCTAGCAAGCAAGCAAGTTTTTCTCCTTATAATTTGTGAGCTAGCAAATTTTACACATATGAAAGTTGGCAATATTTTTGCATCTTTTTGAGATGAGCAAGCTTTTTACTTCTTCTTGAAGTATGCAAGCTAGCTAGCAAGCTAGCAAAATTTGCTCCCCCTATGTCAATGTCAAATAGAAGGGAAGAATACAATATTATAATTCTTTTTTCCTTTTTATCAATCTTCACATCGTAACAAAGGATAAATTATAAAGATGAAAAATCATGAATGTCAAAATAATTTTTCATCATGAATATCTCATGATTGCATACATCATTATCATAAGTTGAAGTATTTCATGCATAATATCAAATCATCATTCATAATTACATCAATGTTTCAATCATTATTTCAATATATTAACTCATCATTTTGAATCTCGGATTTTGATGATAAAGTCAATTAATGGGTTAATTGATCTAATCCATATTATTGAGTTAAGTGTGCATGATTAACTATGATAGATGGAAGATATAAAGCAAGTCTACCGGAGTTAAGTTTGATGGGTGTTCGAGAGTCCGCCGAAAGTTTGAAGAATCGTCGGAAGTGCTGCCGGAACCAACCGAGAAAGAATCAGGGACTTGCCGAAGTTTTCGGAAGTCCGCCGAAGAGATCGTCGGAGGTTCGCGGAGATCACTAAGAAGGTTCGACTACTTGCCAAAGACTTGCTGAACTCGCCACAAGACTGGGAGCCTACTAGGAGTCCGCCGGAAGTTTGCCGGAAAGCTCGCCGGAAGGAAACTCGATGTTGCTGGTTAAAAACCTACTTAGGACTATGTATTAATTTCGTAATTTGTATGTAATTATGGTTAGTATTAAGGGTTAATCTTATAACCTGGTTAGGGGTTAACTGGGCCCTAATATAGACTGATTTGGGTCAAATTAAGAGCACAACCAATGACCCGTAAGGTCGGGTGGTGGCACCGCCCAACACCCGGCCGGACTCGGCGGTGGAACCGCTAGTACTCTTTCAGTGTTAGACACTGACAAGTGGTGGCACCGCCAGCATCGGGAACCCAAAAGTAATTCAAATTTGGAGCTCAAATTTGAATACTCTTGGGGCCTATAAATACCCCTCTATTCTCAGCAGAGAAGATAACTTTTAAGAAGTTAGAAATTGAGAAAAAACCTTAGCAAAGTCTTTAGTAAAATCTTATTTTTATAATAGTTTAATTGTTCATCTCCTTTTTCTTTTTGAAAAATCTATAAAAACGTGAACCAATTGTAAAAAGATTATAAGAAAGATATTTAACTGATAATGTTTGGTCAGTAAGTGCAATTGGGACCCTTAAGTGCAATTTGGTAGTCAATGCTATCAAAACCTCCACCATTTATTATGTCCATGCTCTAATCATGAAATGATGGCTCATTTCTTGTGCACCCCCCACGATAAAATATGAGTAACAGTTCCAGTGATCGATAATTCCGCGAGAACAGCCATCACATCATGATTTGGGCCACCGCAATCACATGCAGAACAGCCATGCAGAAGTGACGTGAGGAATGCGGTGCTGACAACCAAGTTTTAGTCAGTGGAAACGAAGTCATCGCAAACCACAAGCTGACATATCAATTTACATATCAGTGGAAACGAAGTCCTCGCAATCACCACCGCATGATTCACCCTATCACTAAAAAAGCAGTGACAAAGATGGTTTACATATCAATTTTCTTTGTGTTAACACCACACTAGTGGTATTTCACCTCCACCACCAAACTCCTCACCCTATCGAAAGACGATGTTTCCTTCGTAGGAGTGATGTGAAGTTTTGGTTTCCATTTTCCCCCCATAGAAATTGATCAGAAACTTACTTGCCATCTATTTTTGACACCATCTCAGATGACACATTCCTTGCGACTCGAACAAGTCTTGGCGGATTACAGATTGGGGAGGAAAGGACTAAGACAACTCAAAGGTGAAACCTTTCGGATTCTGGAAGACAATACAATACAATACAATACAATACGATACAATACAATACAATACAATAAAAGAAGCTCACTGACTCTCGTTTTCTTTTCTTTTTCTTTGTGTTTTTTGTTTCCAAGACGACGACAGCCGGTCGGTGATGAGCACCGATAGATTCTCGTGTTTCAAGAAAAGAGAACCCGGTCGGTGAAGAGCTCCCAGCAGCTTTCTTGTCCCCTTTCTCCACCACCACCACCACCACCACCTCACAAACCATTCTACTCTCTCGCTTTCTCCCCTCCCCTCCCCGTACTGTTTGTTCCCCGCTCCTTTTTCCCAGCTTTTCTTTTTCCCTTGCCTGCTTTTGGCTCCTCTCGGTTTCCTTGTTCTTCAAAAGCAACGAGTTTTCCCTCCCCCTGCATCAAATGGAAAACCATTCGAAAGCTCAAGAAACCAACAGCAGCAGTAGCACCAATTACAGCCGCAACAATGGAGCAACGACACCAGCAGCAGCTCCGTCACCGTCATCGCCACCAGCTCTGCCTCCCAAAACCATTCCGAAAGCCTGCGAGGTGAATCCGTACCCGACGACCTTCGTCCACGCTGACACCTCCTCCTTCAAGCAGGTAGTCCAAATGCTCACAGGCTCAGCCGAGACCGTCGCCGCTGCCGCGGCCGCTAGCTCGACGGCACAGAAAGCACCGGTTGCCCCGGCCACCAAGGCTACCGGCCCAAAAAAGCCTGCTTTCAAGCTCTACGAGCGGCGGAACAGCCTCAAGAACCTCAAGGTACTCAGCCCCCTCGTTCCAGCATTCTTCAACTCCAGCCCCAACCCCAACTCCCTCGTCGCCGCTGCCGGATTCTCTCCTCGGAAGCAGCCGGAGATCCTGTCGCCCAGCATGCTGGACTTCCCTTCGCTGGTGCTCAGTCCGGTGACGCCCTTGATCCCCGACCCCTTCAACCGGCCGCCGCACCACCCGACTTCGGCGGCTGCCAAATGGGCGGAGGACCGGGCGATCGCCGAGAAGGGGTTCTACCTGCATCCTTCGCCGCGGGCTTCGACGGACGCGGAGCCTCCGCGGCTGCTACCCTTGTTCCCAGTGACATCTCCCAAGGTCTCGTTCGACTTATCTCTTGCCGTACCTCACTCCTCCACCAGATAAGTTTACCTCCAGAATTGTGTTCGGTCTCTGTACTCGTTTTAGCTTCGATTGCATGGGTTTATTCCTTCGTCCGCGAATGCAAATCGAGCAGCATGGCACAGAATCATCATCTCCTTATTCCTTCTCTCTTTTGCCGACATGATTGGGAGAGTGATACAAGAAGAAGAAGAAGAAGAAGAAAAATGATGGCTCTTCTAAGTCAGAGAAAAAAGGCCAGCTAGTCCGCACTGCTTCTGCAAGTGCGAGTTCTGATGATGAAGGGTGGGTGGAACAATATAAATCGATGAACCAAGCTGCTGCCGAGTGAAAGATGACCCCTATCCCTTCCCACTTCTTCTTCGAGTCTGTCATGAGGTGCTTGGATCGATGGGTTGAAGTCTCTGTTTCACCGTCCTTTTCTTTTTCTCTCTCTCTCTCTCTCTTTCACATGTCGACTGATGATGAGCCAAGACACCAAGTCTTTTGAATCTCAATGCCTGTGAACACTATAAACCTTACCAGCACTGCTTTTGCTTGCTAGGTTTAAGCAGTACAAAGGTTGCCTCTCGTTTCAGGTATCTTCCCGATGACCGCAAGTCTGAAACTGGTGGAAGAAAAGGACTGCAGCTAGCTTTTAAATGCATGAAGCACCTACTAACTTCCGGTCAGCTATGATGGAAGGACCTGTGTGTCAGAAAGGACAGCGAAAAATCTATCCATCCCGATGCCACTTTTTTTTTTCGCTACTTGGATGGATGGATGGATCTCATCGACCATAAATAGAAGGGGACCATCATCATCATCATCGTTATGGATAGGACAGGCGATTCATTCATCACATCTGAATTCAGAGTGAGCCAACGACAGCTTCTCTCGACTTCGTTCCGAGATCGACTCCCCTCCTCGGAGTTGACTAATTAAGGTCGCAGCAGATCAGGCAAGAGAAGTTTGGGACCAACGACGATACCATATGACCAAGTTCAAACGAAGAAACGAGACCTTCGTTCTTAATAAGCTGTCAATGGGCAATCCTAACTCTTATTTGCATCATCGTCTTCTAGCTGAGGCTTCCACTTTCAGGTTAATTTTTTTGACAGCGATTAACACAATGTCCACCACCTAAATGCAATGCTTGTATCGTAATTGATACTTGGAATAAAAAATAAAAATCTTTTTTGATCCGAGCTTAGCGTGGAGGCAATTCCGAGTGCGTGAATCTCAAACAAATAAATAAATAAATACTTGGTACCCTGTCTAGAAATTTTGCCTTCAACCCAAACCATATTTCAAAGCTAGTAGCAGATCCCAGGCAAAGGCAAAACAAGTTCCACGATGAGTGGCAAAAGCAAAAGCGAGACGTCGAAATAAAATTAAACAAAAGAAATTAAGTAAAATAAATTGATATGAAAACAAAATTAAGTAAAAGAAATTGATATGGAATAATCAAAAGAATTGACATGAAAATAAAATTAAACAAAAGAAATTGACATGTAAATAAAATTAAATAAAAGAAACAAACGTGAAAACAAAATTAAACAAAAGAAACTGACATTTAGATAAAATTAAGCAAAAAAAATTGACATTAATACAAAATTAAATAAAAGAAACTGACATTAGGATAAAATTAAGTAAAAAAACTAACATGTGGTAAAATTAAATAAAAGAAATTAACATGGAGATAAATTTAAAAAAAAAATAATATAGAAATAAAATTAAGCAAAAAAATTGATATAGAGAAAAAATTAAGCAAAAAAAACTAAAAATGAGAAAAAAATAAGCAAAAGAAACTGAAATAGTGACCAAATTAGGTAAAAAAAAGCTTACATGAGCACAAATTAAACAAAAGAAACAAGTATGGAAATAAAATTAAGCAAAAGAAATAAGTATGGAAATAAAATTACGCAAAAGAAACTAACTTTGAAACAAAATTAAGTAAAATAAACTAACATGGAAGCAAAATTAAGTAAAAAAAACTAATATAGAGACAAAATTAAACAAAAAAAATTGACATGCAGACAAAATTAAACAAAAGAAACTGATATAGAGATAAAATTAAATAAAAAAAACTGACATTGAGACAAATTTAAACAAAAGAAATTGGTATGAAAATAAATTTAAGCATAAGAAACTAACATGGAAACAAAATTAAGCAAAAGAGACTGACATGGAGACAACGTTAAGCAAAAGAAACCGAGGAGACAAAATTAAGTAAAAGAAAGTGACATGGAGACAAAATTAAGCAAAAAAAAACTGACATTGAGATAAAATTATACAAAAGAAACTGACATCGAGACAAAATTAAGCAAAAGAAATTTGCATTGATACAAAATTAAGCAAAAAAAACTGGCATGGAGGCAAAATTAAGTAAAAGAATTTAGCATGTAAATAAAATTTAGCAAAAGAAATTGGCATGGAAACAAAATTAACCAAAAGAAACTCTCGTGAAAACAAAATTAATCAAAAGAAACTCTCATAAAAATAAAATTAAGCAAAAAAAAAAAGTATGAAAACAAAATTAAGCAAAAGAAACTAGCATGGAAACAAAATGAAACAAAATAAACTAGCATTGAAACAAAATTAAGTAAAAGAAACTGATATGGAAGCAAAATTAAGCAAAATAAACTAATAGAAAAATAAAATTAAGCAAAAGAAATTGACATAGAAACAAAATTTAGCAAAAGAAACTATCATATAAACAAAATTAAGCAAAAGAAACTAACACGAAAACATAATTAAGTAAAAAAAGATAAAATTAAGCAAAAAAAACTAACATGGTGACAAAATTATGCAAAAGAAACTCATATGGAAACAAAATTATGAAAAAAAATGGATATTTAGAAAAAATTAAGCAAAAGAAACTAATATAAAGATAAAATTAAGTAAAATAAACTTATGAAAAAAACAGATATTGAGAAAAAATTAAGCAAAAGAAACTAATATAAAGATAAAATTAAGTAAAATAAACTAACATGAAGACTAAATTAAGTAAAAGAAATTAACATACAGATAAAATTAAGCAAAAGAAACTGATATGGAGACAAAATTAAAAAAAAATTTGACATTTAGACAAAATTAAGCAAAAGAAATTGACATGGAAATAAAATTAAGCATAAGAAACTGACGTGGAAACAAAATTAAGCAAAAGAAACTGACATGATGATAAAGTTAAGAAAAAGAAACTAAGAAGACAAAATTAAGCAAAAAAAATTGACATGGAGACAAAAATAAGCAAACAAACTAACATTGAGACAAAATTATGCAAACGAAATTGACATCGAAACAAAATTAAGCAAAAAAAACTAACATCGAGACAAAATTAAACAAAAGAACTTGGCATTGAGGCAAAATTAAGCAAAATAAACTAGCATGTAAATAAAATTTAACAAAAGAAATTGGCATAGAAACAAAATTAACCAAAAAAACGATAGAGAAATAAAATTAAACAAAAGAAATTGACATAGAAACAAAATTTAGCAAAAGAAATTATCATATAAACAAAATTCAGCAAAAGAAACTAAAATGAAAATATAATTAAGCAAAAAAAATTGACATGAAGACAAAATTAAGTAAAAGAAATAGACATGGTGACAAAAATAAGAAAAAGAAACTGACATGGAAACAAAATCACGAAAAAAAAGATATCGAGAAAAACTTAAGCAAAAAAATTGACATTGAGACAAAATTATGTAAAAGAAACTGAAATCGAGATAAAATTAAGAAAAAAAACTGATATTGGGACAAAAATATACAAAAAAAAACTGACATCGAGACAAAATTAAGCAAAAGAAACTCACAAGGAAACAAAATTAAGCAAGAATAAAATTAAGCAAGAACAAAATTAAGCAAAAGAAACTAACATTAAAATAAAATTAAGTAGAAGAAACTAGCATAGAAACAAAATTAAGCAAAAGAAATTGACATGGAAACAAAATTAAGCAAAAGAAACTGAATCAAAATTAATCAAAAGAAACTATATGGAGACTGAATTAAGTTAAAAAAATTGACATAGAAACAAAATTAAGTAAAAAAAACTAACATTGAGATAAAATTAAGCAAAAGAAACTTACATAGAGACAAAATTAAGTAAAATAAATTGACATTGAGATAAAATTAAGCAAAAGAAACTAGTATTGAGACAAAATTAAGTAAAAGAAACTGACATATAAACAAAATTAGGCAAAAGAAATTGACATGTAAAACAAAATTAAGTAAAAGAAATTCTCTTGGAAACAAAATTAAGCAAAATAAACTAGCATGAAAATAAAATTAAGCAAAAAAAACACGAATGGTAACAAAATTAAGCAAAAGTAACTAGGATGAAAAAAATTAAGTAAAAGAAACTAGCATTGGAATAAAATTAAGCAAAAGAAACTAGCATGGAAACAAAATTAAGCAAAAGAAACTGATATTGAAACAAAATTAAACAAAAGAAACCGATAGGGAAATAAAATTAAGTAAAAGAAATTAACATAGAAACAAAATTTAGCAAAAAATTATCATATAAATAAAATTAAGCAAAAGAAATTGACATTAAAATATAATTAAGCAAAAGAAATTGACATGAAGACAAAGTTAAGCAAAAGAAACATAGTAACAAAATTAAGCAAAAGAAACTGACATACAAACAAAATTACGAAAAAAATGGATATCGAGAAAAATTAAGCAAAAGAAACTAACATAGAGACAAAATTAAGCAAAAGAAACTAACATGAAGACTAAATTAAGTAAAAGAAATTGACATGTAGAAAAAATTAAGCAAAAGAAAACT